TGCAGATTGAGGGATCACAAGTGACCATTAGGACACAAAATCTCAACAAAAAAAAATTTGAAATTTCATCGTTTTAGTAGGAAGGTACCTACCTTATGATTTAGATTTTGGGAAACTTTGACAAGTCATAACTTTTTTTCTATTATAGATAGAAAGCTGAAACTTTCACTGAAATTTATCCCAGTGAAGGGACTACAATTCCTGAAAATTTCAGCTCATTTGCACTTATAGTTTCTGAGATAAAATCGTATTAAGCAATTTGGGGTGATTTATCAATTTTTCTATTTTTCTGAGTGCCTTTTTTCATAGATTCCGGCTTCAAATCTGGGAATAACGTAGTGTATGCAGATTGAGGGATCACAAGTGACCATTAGGACACAAAATCTCAACAAAAAAAAATTTGAAATTTCATCGTTTTAGTAGGAAGGTACCTACCTTATGATTTAGATTTTGGGAAACTTTGACAAGTCATAACTTTTTTTCTATTATAGATAGAAAGCTGAAACTTTCACTGAAATTTATCCCAGTGAAGGGACTACAATTCCTGAAAATTTCAGCTCATTTGCACTTATAGTTTTTGAGATAAAATCGTGTTAAGCAATTTGGGGTGATTTATCAATTTTTCTATTTTTCTGAGTGCCTTTTTTCATAGATTCCGGCTTCAAATCTGGGAATAACGTAGTGTATGCAGATTGAGGGATCACAAGTGACCATTAGGACACAAAATCTCAACAAAAAAAAATTTGAAATTTCATCGTTTTAGTAGGAAGGTACCTACCTTATGATTTAGATTTTGGGAAACTTTGACAAGTCATAACTTTTTTTCTATTATAGATAGAAAGCTGAAACTTTCACTGAAATTTATCCCAGTGAAGGGACTACAATTCCTGAAAATTTCAGCTCATTTGCACTTATAGTTTTTGAGATAAAATCGTGTTAAGCAATTTGGGGTGATTTATCAATTTTTCTATTTTTCTGAGTGCCTTTTTTCATAGATTCCGGCTTCAAATCTGGGAATAACGTAGTGTATGCAGATTGAGGGATCACAAGTGACCATTAGGACACAAAATCTCAACAAAAAAAAATTTGAAATTTCATCGTTTTAGTAGGAAGGTACCTACCTTATGTTTTAGATTTTGGGAAACTTTGACAAGTCATAACTTTTTTTCTATTATAGATAGAAAGCTGAAACTTTCACTGAAATTTATCCCAGTGAAGGGACTACAATTCCTGAAAATTTCAGCTCATTTGCACTTATAGTTTTTGAGATAAAATCGTATTAAGCAATTTGGGGTGATTTATCAATTTTTCTATTTTTCTGAGTGCCTTTTTTCATAGATTCCGGCTTCAAATCTGGGAATAACGTAGTGTATGCAGATTGAGGGATCACAAGTGACCATTAGGACACAAAATCTCAACAAAAAAAAATTTGAAATTTCATCGTTTTAGTAGGAAGGTACCTACCTTATGATTTAGATTTTGGGAAACTTTGACAAGTCATAACTTTTTTTCTATTATAGATAGAAAGCTGAAACTTTCACTGAAATTTATCGCAGTGAAGGGACTACAATTCCTAAAAATTTCAGCTCATTTGCACTGATAGTTTCTGAGATAAAATCGTGTTAAGCAATTTGGGGTGATTTATCAATTTTTCAATTTTTCTGAGTGGCATTTTTCATAGATTTCGGATTCAAATCTGAGAATAACTTAGTGTATGGAGTTCAGAGGATGTCAAATGACCATTAGGACACAAAATCTCCACATAAAAAAATTTGAAATTTCATCGTTTTAGTAGGAAGGTACCTACCTTATGATTTAGATTTTGGGAAACTTTGACAAGTCATAACTTTTTTTCTATTATAGATAGAAAGCTGAAACTTTCACTGAAATTTATCCCAGTCAAGGGACTACAATTCCTAAAAATTTCAGCTCATTTGCATTTATAGTTTCTGAGATAAAATCGTGTTAAGCAATTTGGGGTGATTTATCAATTTTTCAATTTTTCTGAGTGGCATTTTTCATAGATTTCGGATTCAAATCTGAGAATAACTTAGTGTATGGAGTTCAGAGGATGTCAAATGACCATTAGGACACAAAATCTCAACAAAAAAAAATTTGAAATTTCATCGTTTTAGTAGGAAGGTACCTACCTTATGATTTAGATTTTGGGAAACTTTGACAGGTCATAACTTTTTTTCTATTATAGATAGAAAGCTGAAACTTTCACTGAAATTTATCGCAGTGAAGGGACTACAATTCCTAAAAATTTCAGCTCATTTGCACTTATAGTTTCTGAGATAAAATCGTGTTAAGCAATTTGGGGTGATTTATCAATTTTTCAATTTTTCTGAGTGGCATTTTTCATAGATTTCGGATTCAAATCTGAGAATAACTTAGTGTATGGAGTTCAGAGGATGTCAAATGACCATTAGGACACAAAATCTCCACATAAAAAAATTTGAAATTTCATCGTTTTAGTAGGAAGGTACCTACCTTATGATTTAGATTTTGGGAAACTTTGACAAGTCATAACTTTTTTTCTATTATAGATAGAAAGCTGAAACTTTCACTGAAATTTATCCCAGTGAAGGGACTACAATTCCTAAAAATTTCAGCTCATTTGCATTTATAGTTTCTGAGATAAAATCGTGTTAAGCAATTTGGGGTGATTTATCAATTTTTCAATTTTTCTGAGTGCCTTTTTTCATAGATTCCGGCTTCAAATCTGGGAATAACGTAGTGTATGCAGATTGAGGGATCACAAGTGACCATTAGGACACAAAATCTCAACAAAAAAAAATTTGAAATTTCATCGTTTTAGTAGGAAGGTACCTACCTTATGATTTAGATTTTGGGAAACTTTGACAGGTCATAACTTTTTTTCTATTATAGATAGAAAGCTGAAACTTTCACTGAAATTTATCGCAGTGAAGGGACTACAATTCCTAAAAATTTCAGCTCATTTGCACTGATAGTTTCTGAGATAAAATCGTGTTAAGCAATTTGGGGTGATTTATCAATTTTTCAATTTTTCTGAGTGGCATTTTTCATAGATTTCGGATTCAAATCTGAGAATAACTTAGTGTATGGAGTTCAGAGGATGTCAAATGACCATTAGGACACAAAATCTCAACAAAAAAAAATTTGAAATTTCATCGTTTTAGTAGGAAGGTACCTACCTTATGATTTAGATTTTGGGAAACTTTGACAAGTCATAACTTTTTTTCTATTATAGATAGAAAGCTGAAACTTTCACTGAAATTTATCCCAGTGAAGGGACTACAATTCCTAAAAATTTCAGCTCATTTGCATTTATAGTTTCTGAGATAAAATCGTGTTAAGCAATTTGGGGTGATTTATCAATTTTTCAATTTTTCTGAGTGCCTTTTTTCATAGATTCCGGCTTCAAATCTGGGAATAACGTAGTGTATGCAGATTGAGGGATCACAAGTGACCATTAGGACACAAAATCTCAACAAAAAAAAATTTGAAATTTCATCGTTTTAGTAGGAAGGTACCTACCTTATGATTTAGATTTTGGGAAACTTTGACAAGTCATAACTTTTTTTCTATTATAGATAGAAAGCTGAAAGTTTCACTGAAATTTATCCCAGTGAAGGGACTACAATTCCTGAAAATTTCAGCTCATTTGCACTTATAGTTTCTGAGTTAAAATCGTGTTAAGCAATTTGGGGTGATTTATCAATTTTTCTATTTTTCTGAGTGCCTTTTTTCATAGATTCCGGCTTCAAATCTGGGAATAACGTAGTGTATGCAGATTGAGGGATCACAAGTGACCATTAGGACACAAAATCTCAACAAAAAAAAAATTGAAATTTCATCGTTTTAGTAGGAAGGTACCTACCTTATGATTTAGATTATGGGAAACTTTGACAGGTCATAACTTTTTTTCTATTATAGATAGAATGCTGAAACTTTCACTGAAATTTATTCCAGTGAAGTGACTACAATTCCTAAAAATTTTAGCTCATTTGCACTTATAGTTCCTGAGATAAAATCCTGTTAAGCAATTTGTGGTGATTTATCAATTTTTCAATTTTTCTGAGTGCCTTTTCTAATAGATTTCGGCTTCAAATCTCAGAATAATTCGGTGAATGAAAAAAGCAAAAGCAAAGTGGTTCAATCTAAACACAGTGCAAATAGAACTCGATAATGATGACGTCACTGATTTTGGATTAGGGCTAAGAGGAAGTAGAAGTTTTGAAGACCTATAACAAAAAGCTAGAAGTGAAAGAAATCGAGCAAATAGAAAATTATGAGCATGCAGAAGAAAACGGTGAAATGCCAGGGTCCTTATTCTTGAAACAGGTGAGCAGCGTTCCCAGAAGAAAGACGGAATACTCGTTCTCCTGGGAACGCTGCTTCCCAGTTTCAAGAATAAGAACCCAGATCTTAGACCACAAAGAAATGTGCTAATGCCTATCAAATTTCATGATTTTCACTTGAATTTTGTAGAAATTAACATGAAGCACATGGATAATATGGTTCAAACTCCAGAAAATAAGAAACTCATAGAATCGAGGTGGGTATTTCGAGTTAAAAGAAATCAATACGGCACAATCTCAAGATATAAGTGTGTTAAAGGATATGCACAAAAGAAGGGCATACATTATAATGACATTTATGCTCCAACAACAAGATTTGGTTCAACCCAATACAAACTATCCTCTTATATGGCGAACTTGGAGGAAATATAGTACATGAAACCATCATTTGGATTTGACTGCAAAGAGAGAAGATTCTGTTTGTAAACTAGAAAAGTCATTGTATGGCTTGAGATAAGGCTCAAAATGCTGGAATAAGAAATTCAGCACTTTTTTGCTTGCAAAATATGCTAATTTATCTGAGAACACCCTGTGTTTACATTGTTACCAAAGGCTCAACATATTTTTTGTATTTATGATTAAAACCATTATTTTCACCTGCATTGTAGGTGTATAGGTATGACATTAGGTTTCCAAGTAATTTAATATTGTGATTGACAACTCATTTTGACGTTAGTAATATTTCAAAAATCAAACGAAATTCTCCCAAAAATGTTAGAAACAATCAAGTCCTACCTACCAGACCACACCAGTGCCTTCTTCTACTTGGTAATTGCCCTTTTTGTAATCGCAATCCTATATTTCAACGACATGTTCAGCAACATGAACACCTACAGAGGTTACGACGCCAAAAAGCAAATAGGCTACGGATATGAAGCCAGCAATGGACCAAACATGTGGAAGCACGCTTATGTAGACGCTGCAGGCCGCCAGCAATCCCCCATTAATCTTCTGACCCATTGCACCATCACTGTCCCATCGGAATTGCAAAGCTTGAAGTTTTCAGAAGAATTCAGCGAAAATCCACGTGAAATGTTGGCTTATAATAACGGTTTGAATGTGGTCTTGTACGCTAAATGGTGCAACAACCGAAGACCCAACATTACAATGAATTGTGTTGTATACAATTTTTTGAATATTAGATTCAGATGGGGCCCTACTGACAACGAAGGCTCAGAGCATATGGTTGATACAACAAGATTCGCTATCGAAATGCAAGTTGCCTTTATCAAAAACAATTCCGGCTGTGATATTTTGGAAGCGGCACGAAACAAAGACTTGTTGATGGTTAGCTATTTTTTTATGGCAACCTCAGTGGATAATCCTTATTTGGAACCAATAGTGAAATCACTTAAGATGCTCAAATGTCCTTTGAGCTGTGCATCAATTTGTCCATTTCCTTTGAAACTTTTAACTCCAATATTTTCAAAAAACTACTTTTCTTATGAGGGATCTTTGACGTTTCCGCCTTGCACTGAAGGAGTCAAATGGATAGTGCAACCAGAACCTTTACTAATATCCAGCAGGCAAGCGAGCAAATTCAGAAAACTGATTGGCGGATGTAATTGCACTAGAATCAGCAGCAATTCTAGGCCAGTACAAAAGACCAACGAAAGAGAGATTTTCTTTTACGATTAATAAATTCTTTGATGTGTTAATTATTGAATAAAAATGGCGCGCTAGGGCAAATCGTCCAATAAGATTCCGGAACAGGGGGTGTTGCCATGGCGACACGTTCTCTCCCGCAGGATGATTCTCTCCCTTGTCTCTCTCTTCCCGGATTGCCATCTTACCGTTGCGGAATCCGGAACGGGGTCGACGATTTCCCCCAAAATGTTTCCCCTCCCCGAGTCTCAGTTTGAATCCATCAAAAGCTGAATATTTAAATTTCAATAGAAAACGAGGTTATTTATGACACTTTTTTGTTTGAAAATCCTGGAATGGGTTTAAGTCAAAAATCTTTTTTAAGCTTCGAAATATTGCTTTGAGAATCATCAATCAGGTCAAAAAATGACTTGTAACAATATATACATAGTTTAATAAGATGACGCAGAAGAATGTTTCAGTTTTCCTATGTAATTAAGTCGGTTGCGTGGGAAAAGCCCTCACAATTTTGGGCAAATATTTTCATTTTTGTGTGCCAAGAATTTACGTATTAAATTTAGAATTCCACTAGGTATGTTGTGTATTGGCGTGTCAATTGGCTCCTTTTAGAGGTAAAATTCATAATAAACTGTAGACTATCAGAAAGAGCATTAAATTCTCTATAAATTCATGCCAAATTGAGTTGATTAGCTCAAATACTTTTTGAGCAATTGAGCCTCAAAGTTGAATTCCATAGTTGAAATTTAGTTCAAACTCAATTTTTTTGGAGATGTTTTCCGACTGAGGTTTTTTAGAGCCTAATAGGAGTTACAATTGCTAAAAATTTCGATTTAATATTTTTCACGGATGTTAGTAAATTAATGACTAAAGATTTTGAAGGGTGTTTTTTTATATATTGACACTCCACTTACAACCTTTACCTTTACAGGTAGAAGAGAGGTGTAAATACAAAAAAGTTATGTACAGTTTTGGCTGACTTTTTGAAAACCATGGTTAGAAATATGCATGCTTCTAGTTTTTTTTAAATGGGATGCCCTATCTCCTATCTATATTCGTAAAGAGCACAATGCCTCGATTCCAAAAATATATAGTTTGTCTAGGATATTTGATTGAAGAGTCTCTCATATATTCGGTTCCAAACATTGTAAAAATACTACACTCCTGGACATAAAAAACCGGACAAACAAAATTTTGTTAAATTTGAATCCTAAATAATTTTTTCGATTTTGCATCTAAATTGATTATTTTTTGTCAAATGGTAGGCGCGTTTATCTTGATCATTATTTAAAATTGTGTTAGCAAAAAGTTCGAATGGATATGGTGTTATACAGGTTGGAACCATAAGTTGCATTTGGTCCCAAACTTCTGAACACTCTGTGTAATAATTCAACGACACAATCATGCGTATTTGCAGGACATTCTTAAGCGTTATCATTTCTTAACATGTCTTTTTTTTAATTCATATCAATATCTTTAATCTCAAAGGAAGCACAAGTTTTTAGAGCAGCAATGCAATTTATACCAATAATAAAAATTAAAAACATTACAGATAACTTTAACAAATAAACAAACACTAATATTGGGTATTACCTCCACGTGCTCTAGTAACTGCTGCCATGCGACGTGGTAAGCTCTCAATACAATTGGCAATAGCCCTTTGCGGAATGTTCTCCCACTCTTCGAAGATCGAATAGTTTCCGGTTGTCGATTGCGAATTAGCCTCCTTAACATGTCCCACACCTGCTCAATCGGGTTTAGATCAGGGCGATATGGAGGCCAGTCCAATCGTTGAATCCCTGCTTCATCAAGATAATCACTGACAACTCTTGCGACATGAGGCCTGACATTGTCGTGCATCAAAGAAAAATTTTTACCAACAAATGGAGCAGAAGGAATAACGTGGACCGCTAAACATTTTTCAATATAACGGTTGGCAGTTAAGGCGCCATTTCCGATAAAAACCAGGGCAGTACGGGCGTGAGGTGCATCCAGCTCACACCAGCCGTCTATTCATCAATATGTTGTTTAATAGGGAACAATCATATTTTTCAAATTATTTTTTTTCTCATTATTTATGTTTTCAAATATAAAATGTATAGGTTTTTTTTTGTATTAGATCCTCATTAAAATTACAAAAATATTTTAAATTTCAAATTATTTTCGTTGGCGCGAAAACGATAACCTTCAAAATGGCGGTACCTGTGACGTCAACTGTCTGTAAACACAACGTTAAGGACGTTAAGGTCTGTTCACACAAGAGCCTCTGACACTTTACAAACTGTCAGAAATAATCGCTCAGCTTGAACCTTCGACTGCATTGAAAGCAGTTATTATGTGGTATTTCCGTATTTATTGCCGTATTGTGACATTTCGTGTGTTAAATCCTTCATCATGGTTGGGTTGATAAAGGATTTACAAAAGCACAGTCTTACAATCTCCCCTCTATACTAGACTCATTTATGGTGGTTCAATATCAGTCGTGGCGTGACGTGAGCTGGGCCGGTATTCTCGTTCCCGAAAACGCCCACCGCTTTCTAGTCGCTCGGCACTTTTAATGTAAATTTACATATAAAGTGCCGAGCGTTTCAAAAGCGGTGAACGTTTTCGAGAACAAGAATACCGGCCCTGATCGTGGACTAATCGTTCTACGACTCAAGAGTGAACCACGAAAAACGATCAGTGTAAACTACCCTTAACCATAATTTACGAACAGTTGACGTCACTGGAAGCGGCCATGTTAAACGTAACTTTTCCGCGCGAAACTTTTCAATTTAAAACTAATAATTGCCGTATGACAACAATATCGATAAATTTAACGCAAAACTGCTCATATTCAATATTTTACAGAAAAAGGTGTACCATAAAAACAAAATAAGCCATATTTATTTCTCATGAAAATTCCCTATTACGATACTTATCTGACTCATTTAAATATGAGTTATTCTCAATTTAAGAACTACATGTTTTAGGTGAATGTCTTATTTGAATAATTTAACCGTAGATTGGTAAGTAGATGGATGCGGGACGAGCGTAGCGAGGTCTACCCATAAGTTCCACAATAATCCATTTATTTGTACTTGAACAATAATTTATTATATAAAATCAAAATTTGTAGGATTATGATTATTGACTTTTTGTCAATTTGCTTTTCAACAGAAATTAGTAATGTTACTTTACCAAACTAGTAACATAATGTCACAAGTTATTCAAGTACAAATGAGTGAATTGTTGCGGAACTTATAGGTGGACCTCTGCGGGACGAGCGCAGCGAGTTCCGCAGCCATCTATTCATCAATATGTTGTTTAATTATGATACTAATCTGACTCATTTAAATATGAGTTATTCTCAGTTTAAAAACTACACGTTTTAGGTGAATGTCTCATTTGAATAATTTAACCGTTGATTGGTAAGTAGATGGATGCGGGACGAGCGTAGCGAGGTCTACCCATAAGTTCCACAATAATCCATTTATTTGTACTTGAACAATAATTTATTATATAAAATCAAAATTTGTAGGATTATGATTATTGACTTTTTGTCAATTTGCTTTTCAACAGAAATTAGTAATGTTACTTTACCAAACTAGTAACATAATGTCACAAGTTATTCAAGTACAAATGAGTGAATTGTTGCGGAACTTATAGGTGGACCTCTGCGGGACGAGCGCAGCGAGTTCCGCAGCCATCTATTCATCAATATGTTGTTTAATTATGATACTAATCTGACTCATTTAAATATGAGTTATTCTCAGTTTAAAAACTACACGTTTTAGGTGAATGTCTCATTTGAATAATTTAACCGTTGATTGGTAAGTAGATGGCTGCGGAACTCGCTGCGCTCGTCTCGCAGAGGTCTACCCATAAGTTCCACAATAATCCACTTATTTGTACTTGAACAATAATTTATTATATAAAATCAAAATTTGTAGGATTATGATTATTGACTTTTTGTCAATTTGCTTTTCAACAGAAATTAGTAATGTTACTTTACCAAACTAGTAACATAATGTCACAAGTTATTCAAGTACAAATGAGTGAATTGTTGCGGAACTTATAGGTGGACCTCTGCGGGACGAGCGCAGCGAGTTCCGCAGCCATCTATTCATCAATATGTTGTTTAATTATGATACTAATCTGACTCATTTAAATATGAGTTATTCTCAGTTTAAAAACTACACGTTTTAGGTGAATGTCTCATTTGAATAATTTAACCGTTGATTGGTAAGTAGATGGATGCGGGACGAGCGTAGCGAGGTCTACCCATAAGTTCCACAATAATCCATTTATTTGTACTTGAACAATAATTTATTATATAAAATCAAAATTTGTAGGATTATGATTATTGACTTTTTGTCAATTTGCTTTTCAACAGAAATTAGTAATGTTACTTTACCAAACTAGTAACATAATGTCACAAGTTATTCAAGTACAAATGAGTGAATTGTTGCGGAACTTATAGGTGGACCTCTGCGGGACGAGCGCAGCGAGTTCCGCAGCCATCTATTCATCAATATGTTGTTTAATTATGATACTAATCTGACTCATTTAAATATGAGTTATTCTCAGTTTAAAAACTACACGTTTTAGGTGAATGTCTCATTTGAATAATTTAACCGTTGATTGGTAAGTAGATGGCTGCGGAACTCGCTGCGCTCGTCTCGCAGAGGTCTACCCATAAGTTCCACAATAATCCACTTATTTGTACTTGAACAATAATTTATTATATAAAATCAAAATTTGTAGGATTATGATTATTGACTTTTTGTCAATTTGCTTTTCAACAGAAATTAGTAATGTTACTTTACCAAACTAGTAACATAATGTCACAAGTTATTCAAGTACAAATGAGTGAATTGTTGCGGAACTTATAGGTGGACCTCTGCGGGACGAGCGCAGCGAGTTCCGCAGCCATCTATTCATCAATATGTTGTTTAATTATGATACTAATCTGACTCATTTAAATATGAGTTATTCTCAGTTTAAAAACTACACGTTTTAGGTGAATGTCTCATTTGAATAATTTAACCGTTGATTGGTAAGTAGATGGATGCGGGACGAGCGTAG